TTTCAAACACCGTTCGATTATTCGAAAGCGCACCCAATTAGCAAAATTTCAATCAAATGCTACAGCTACGTAGAGAGTAAGAAAAACAGCAAACAGAGATTCAACTCAGTACGATACATACCATCTAACTGGGTAACCAAATCTGCCTTTGTTTTCCAAACAAACGCCTATAAGCTCTACACGTCAAATAAAACATTGATTCAGTGGCGGGAACATACATTTAAACGTAAATATAAAGAATTAGAAATGAGTCAAAGGTAATTAAGTAAATTTACAAATATATATTTTTTGGCAAAACTTAATTGTTCAAGAGGCAACGAAAGGGTTGAAATTGTCACGGATAAATCAAGTTGAGAGTTGCAGTTTGAGAGATTCGATTCGACGAATTTTAATACACATATGAAAACATTTTCCTCGAGAAATAAAATTTTTCATGCGACAAAAAAACAGCATCCAACTTCGTATTTCGTACGAACAATGTACATGTATCATGAAACGGTCATTTTTGTGCAATTCACCAAAACTTTTCTTAGTTACAAAACACTTTCATCAAAAAGAAAAAAAACACACATCAAACGTTTCCACCAATCCTCGCCCACATCCAACTCGATCATCGGTGAATCTCAAAAACATAAAATTGCCAAAAATTAATTTCACAGTCACGAATTACCTGTAAATGGACGACGCGGAAGTAGAGCGCGACCAGGAAACCAAAAAGTTCTCCTTGCGACGGGTAGCTTTTTGACTATTGATCACAGTTTTGAGGACATCATTCGGCACTAGTGAATTTTTTATGCTAATAAATACAAACCTGAGGGGAAGAAAACAATCATCGTCAAGAACATGAAAAAAAAGGTTCCCTCGCATTCCCTCGAATTTGCTTCCCCAACTGCGAATCACATGGAAGGTGCATTCCCCTCGACACCCATTTCTCTGACTGCAAAAATCACTTCAACCTTTTTCATTTTGCAACCCATTCAAGCAAAAATGGCTGCAAAAAGAATTTTCTACTGTCATGTAGGGAATAATATGGTAAACGAGGAACAAGCCTCCTAATTTTCAGAAGAAAAGTATCTGTACCTTTCCCTAGCATCAGATCTCATTTAAATTTATTATTTTTCGAGCCCCGAAAGCAAAGATTGTATGAAGAAATATTCTTCTCCCGTTATGTAAGGGAGAATTCAGTATATGAGAAGCATATCTCTCAATTTTCAAAAAGAAAAAGTATCTGTAAGCTACTAAATTAGTTTTTCCGCTCTCCTGTCAACTTGGCGATTGTAGATATTATAAATAATCGATTCAGTTACACCTACTAGATTCAACACACAAGACAAATTTATGGATCTCGCAGGTAAAGGAAGTTTAATATACCATACAGAGAAGAATTTTTTCTTCCAAGTTCCGTATTCTTCGAGTACAGAGTTATTCAAAGGTCACAAAAAAAATTCAGTATCTCAAGTCCACCCTTATTAGTAAATTGTAATTTCGGGGAAATGCACAGTCAACAAAATGAATTCTTGGAAGTGGCTGTCAGGGAAATGGTTTTCAGGTAGGTAAATGCACTTTCGGGGAAACGAATTCGAAAAAAATGCGAGGGAACCTGAAAAAGATGAACTTTCGCGAAGTATGAAATTACCGTGGCAATAAAGCGACAACTGAAGACAATAGAATTAAAAACCAATACGAGTACGTTCCCAACGTATTCTGTAGAACCCAAGGGTTCGATGAGAAAGTGAATAATGGATTATTGATGCAATGGAAACATATGGAGTTGTACAAAAAAGTAAATGCGTAAAATGAACCCAGCGATACGATCAACGATATCCAATGAATAATCGTCTACAACAAACAAACGTATCGACAAATAAGAATGCACATTATGTAGAACTGAGAGAGCAGTCGCAATTATTTACCCAAGATCTGTTTCTAAACAACCCTGTAGCACCATGGCAAACATACACGTCGTGACTACCGACATACCAAATTCCCATATGCCAATGTCCGAATCGTTGTAGCTCTGCATAAGTTGGAAGAAAAAAAAAGAATTTAAAAAACAATGAATTTCAAGTTTCAAGATTATGGCTAGTCCTCCTCGGGTACGGCCCGCAAATAAATAAAAATGGAAAACTTACCCAAAACGCGAAAAAAAATATCACTAAACTCTGATAAACAGCATCGAGTATTGTCAACCAAAAAGAATAAGGCTGATAAACTAAACCCAGTCGCCCCTTACCGTACAGGTAAGGGTGGGTTAATAAAAGCTCTTCGGGTGCATCTTGATCATAAACGCCTGTAAGAACAAGAAATAACGATAATTATTCAGAAATTACACCAACTACTTCATTTTGCGACAAATACCATACAAAAACGCGACTCACCAATTACAAGCGGCGGTAACGAGGTAAAAATAAATTGTACAACATTAAATACATTTGATCAATCATCACAGCACCAGAAAATCCGCAAAAAAGTTGATACCAAAATATTAGAAAAACAAATATCTGCAAACAAAAGTACAATACAAGTGTTGAAAGAATTTGAATGAACTATAGCTACTCAATCTGGGTCAGGGGTAATACAAAATGAAATTTCTTAGCGACCTACGACCATTTTGAAAGAGTTTCAAGAACATATTTTCTAACACGAAACTCACCGCATTTTTATAAAAAAAGTATAGCACCATATTAGCCAGACGATCATAACTCCAATGGCCATGAACCAACAGAAATGTCTCCAAAAATTTGAATCTCGACATGGCAAAATCCGAGGCCATTACAGCCTGCATCCCTTCTTGACCAGAAATTCCAATGCCGACGTCCGCTGCCTGAATCATCGAGACATCGTTAGCTCCATCACCTGTTGAACCGACAGTTACGATTAACTTCATGTTGAGAAAAGTTACAATGAGATCGCAAATTCGCCGTTAAAAGCTCGAAAAATTATGACGGAAGAAAAAGTAAAAATTAAAATTTGTGCATAATTATTTGAATACGGTGTTTACCGATAGCTAATGTGCGCATATGGAGTTTTTCTTTCACTACTCGAACTAGATAAGCTTTCTGTAGGGGTGTCGATCGACAGCAAAGGACAGACGTACAGTACTTGGTCAGTCGAAGGAAAGGAACTTGTAAATTGGAACGTCTATCCAGAATAAAACTGTAAACAATGAAGGGAAGATTTAGAAGGTTACCTAAATCAAAATTCAATTGAAATACAGAAAAATGTACAAAATTCTTTTTCTTTTTTTTTCAACGTCTAACGGCAGAAATGAATGAAAGATACGCAATAAATTTCATGATTAGAAATAGTCAGCTAATGACTAGTTGACTAAATCTAAATTGAAGAGAAGCTTAAATTGAAGTAAAAAAAAAAAGGAAATGTCAAAAGGAGATAGGCACATATTCTATTTGAATGTTCTAAAAGTACAAATACATACATCAATTACAGAATCTATAAGGAGATACTTACGTTAGCGTTTTCCATCGACTACTAAAGCTCGTGGTTTTTGATCATTTTGAACTGGTATGGAGCGATCCAAAAACGAAAATGCTTTCGATTTCGCTTTCTTTAATAAAGGCACAAATGACAAAAGTCCTGAATCGCTTTTATTACTAATACCACTATCAGCACTATAAAAAAAATGTACATGTTGCAGCAAATTACGCGGATAGGCAAAAGCGTACTTATCATTAGAGGTAAAATATTTAGATCTCACTAAAACCTACACACTGAGAATAGGAGGAGAATAATAAATGGGAATATGGATTATAGCTAAAAAGATTTATTGAATGTCTCAAAATCGAAGAAAATACAAAAAAGTTGGTTTTCTTCGAAAACCTGCCGAAAACTGTCCCACGATCTTACTGAAGTATAAAAAAAAACTTATCCTAAACACAATTTTTCGGTCCGGAATAAAATTTTCCTTGTCCTGTCCAACTTAAAGATGAAAAAAAATCGAGGACACAAATAACTTGACCGATTAACGCAGTGAATAGGTACTTATGACCACCAGACATTCAATGAATCTATGAAACTAATGGTCAA